GCGGGAGCATTTCCTGGTGCGCGTGGTGGCAAAGGCGCACAGCGGTCCCGTCTTCACCATGTACACCACTCTGAGGGACGGCCTTATTGTTACTGGGGGGAAGGAGCGACCGTGAGTCTGCAGTTCCTGAAGATGCTGACCTACCACCTGCTTTTGGTGTTAATACAAAAAAATGGTCCCAGATTCAACCAGTCATTTAAAGTTTGCATTATTAGGGGTGTGGCCTCTTTCAATTACATGTGGATAGTGACACAGGTAGTTGTAGCTCCTAGCTGTCTGCTAGGCTTCACCTGAACTGGACCTCTGGACCGTGTTTGTGCTGTTGGAGCTTTTTTACTAACAGACGGTCCAAGAAGGCGGAGCTCCAGGTTTGGTGCGCAGTGATTGATTGGACATTGCTAATCTTTGTCTGACTGATGCTTTCATATAGTCTGTGGTAACAAAAGTCGCTAGCATTAGCTCATGATAAAATCCATGCTCTAAACGATGGCTTCCGGAATCAGTGGGTGATGCCTAGAGATGGCACAATACCAATTTTTTATGTCCGATACCGATATCATAAATTTGGATATCTGCTGATACCGATATGAATCCGATATAGTGTTTTTTAATAAACAAAACTGATTTTTAAATATCTTGCTGCATTTTGTATAAGTTCATACTCAAGTTTAAAACAACAACAACACTAAAGCTATTCTGTTATACCTGTATGCAAAAAAAAAATTTCATAGTTCAGCAATACTGATCAATCTAATAAACTTAAACCTACACCATCCTCCCTATTCTGGTATTTTAAAGAGTACTTAGCGTAAATATTAAGCAACCTAACTAATAGGGTTCCAACTCCCAGCAACAACAAAAATAAATAAATAAAAAATAGGGAACCACCCCTCACGCTCCACCTCATGATGCTTAATCGACGTAATCAACCTTAATTTGATGCAGTGCACAGAAAATGCACAGAAATCAATTATTTTTCAAGAAATATTAAATAGATTCAACATCTTTCTTCAACAAAATTGCAGACTGCACAGATGGTACCTTCCCAAAGGAAAAAGTACTATAGCTTACTAGGGTATATTAGACGTAACAGTTACTATATACAGTAATGGACTTCTATACATTTTACATCAGATTAAAACTTTGGGTGTCAGATAATTATTTATTAAAAGCTCGACATTTTAAATGAGAATAAGAAAGAAAAGTATGTCTTTGTGCCCCCTTTTCCCTGTTAATGCCCTATCGGCCCCCCTGGCTAAACTTTGCTAGATCCGCCCCTGCACAGTTACCAGCGTCAGCTACGTAGAAAAAGATCCTCGAGTAGAAAGTAATATTAAATAAATTCTAACAACAGCTGATCAAGCTTAAACGTGCTGCTGTTGTTCAGCCGCTGGTTTCCTCTTTCTGGTGCAAAGTGGGCCAAAAACAAACAAGAGAGATGATCAGCTGATCATTAAGCAGTTTCATGATTGAAGCAGCAGCAAGAAGAGGCAGTCGCTCCATATATCGTTTGTTAAGCTTAACGCAGGAATGCTTTACAAACATTCAGAGATGGACTTACACACTTGCTTTACTTCTCTCGGGGATAACTTTGTCGGAGATGAAATGCCAGGTTGCTAGCGAAGCTCCAAATGCTATCCAGACCACCGACAGGTCCCGCATGCCACAGCCGCTCTATCACGTGATGCATACTGCTCCGACGTGCTAACGTTCTGAGGTGAGTTACGGCGTGTCGCAAGTTTTGTGAGGTGCTTTCGTGATATTTAATGGATCGGATTACATTTTTCTATTTTTCTCCGATATCCGATCCAGTAATTTAGGTCAGTATCAGACCGATACCGATACGTAATATCGGATCGGTCCATCTCTAGTGACGCCACAGTGGGTGATGCCACAGTGGCTCTATAAACCAGTGTTTCCACACCTTTTGGAGCACGGCTCATATGAAAAATCACACAGCACACCACCAAACAAAAAGCATATTGATCATTTTCCCCCGAGCACTGAGCTTGGCTCAGTTTGTCCCCAGTTTACGTCTGGACTTCTTTAAGTTGCTTGAAGACGTTTCACCTCTCATCCGAGAAGCTTCTTCAGTTCTAAGGTCAAATGGTGACCTCCCCAGACGCCTTAACGCCCACTCACATCCTGGGCCATCTGACCTCAGGGATTCGCATGATAGGGTGGGGCCAGGTTTCACAGTGAGCTCACCCGAAACTCTGGCTGATTGGGACACAAACCCACTTTCACACCTTGGCTCAGGTGATTAGAGGATCATCAGGGGGTCCTTTTGTCCCTCTGTGGGGGGAAACTCCCACTAGGTTTATAATAATAATAATAATGGATTGGATTTATACAGCGCTTTTCAAGGCACCCAAAGCGCTTTACAATACCACTATTCATTCACTCTCACATTCACACACTGGTGGAGGCAGCTACAGTTGTAGCCACAGCTGCCCTGGGGCAGACTGACAGAAGCCAGGCTGCCATTTTGCGCCATCGGCCCCTCTGGCCAACACCAGTAGGCGGTAGGGTAAAGTGTCTTGCCCAAGGACACAACAACCAGGACAGAGAGCCCAGGGATCGAACCGGCGACCTTCCAGTTACAGATACGCTTCCCAACCCCCTGAGCCACGGTCGCCCCAATCGTCCTATATCTGGGACTCTCCACCATTTGACCTTAGAACTGAAGAAGCTTCTCGGATGAGAGGTGAAACGTCTTCAAGCAACTCAAAGAACTCCAGACGCTTTTCTTTGCAAGCTCCTTTGACTACGATGACCTGGATGACTGAGAACCTTCACAGACATACGTCCCCAGTTTACCTTTTTTGCTTTCTTCTGACCCATCTCATGCTCTGGCCTTCATCTGGGTCGGAGTTTTCTCCAGGACCAGGTCAGACTGACTGCTGTTTCTGTTCAAATATTTATCTATTGCTATTATGCGCTGCATCGTCTCACAGCGTGAGGATTATGTAATTTCTTCTTCGACTTCTTCTGTTTTACTGGCAGTTGGAGACCCATTGAATTAGAGCAGGTAGTTGTACTGCCCTCTAGTGGAAGAGAATGCCATTGTTCTGCCCGTTACTCACGCCGGTCATTTAGAGTACTAATCAGGTGGAATCAGATAATCTGCCGCACCACAGTGGTTGGGAAACACGGCTATAAACCGTGTGGACCGGCCACAAGCATGGCTAAAGGTTAAAGGTTACACCAGGTGAAGATGAGGGTTCAGACAGATCCATTTTAGGGATGTACCCTTCTTCTGGATTCCTTTGATGTATATAAAAAACATGAAATCCCGCTGTCTGCTGCTGTTCATCAGGACCAAAGAGGGTGGTGCTGTGAAGCTTTGGGACCAGGAGATGAAGCGCTGCCGAGCTTTTCAGCTGGAGACCGGCCAACCGGTGGAGAGCGTCCGATCTGTCTGCAGAGGAAAGGTGTGAAGAACACACAGTGGAAGGTCCGTGGTGCTTGATGTTATTGTGATTCCAGTGACAGGAAGAGTAACCTCCAACTCTCTGACAGGGTAAAATCCTGGTGGGAACCAAGGATGGGGAGATCATAGAGGTTGGAGAAAAGAACGCTGCCTCCAACACCATGATCAACGGACACACTCAGGGAGGGATCTGGGGTTTGACAAGTCACCCTTTCAAAGACGTCTTCATCTCCGCCAGCGATGACGGGACCATCCGAATATGGGACCTGGCTGATAAGGTACGGGGTTGAACTGTGGTGTGCTGCCGACCTCACCTGGTACGGTGTATTCCTTTAATCCTGCTTTCTGTCTTAGAAACTCCTGAACAAGGTGAGTTTGGGCCATCCTGCCAAGTGCACGTCCTACAGTCCCAACGGAGAAATGGTTTCCATTGGCATGGAGAACGGGGAGTTCATCGTCCTGCTGGTCAACTCGCTCACCGTCTGGGGCAAGAAGAGAGACCGCAGCGTGGCCATCCAGGATATTCGGTGGGTTTGAACATTAGCACGAATAGGAGCCTCTAACAGTTCTGGGACTAACTTCAGTTTCTGGATTTCTTTGTTCAGGTTCAGTCCAGATAACCGGTTCTTGGCGGTGGGCTCAGTTGAAAGCGCTGTGGATTTCTACGACCTCTCTCTCGGGCCATCGCTTAATCGGATTGGTTACTGCAAGGACATTCCCGGGTGTGTCATCCAGATCGACTTCTCTGCTGACAGCAGACACATCCAGGTACTTTCACTTCCTTCTTAAATAAAGGTTAAAGGTTAAGAAGACACGTGCTGAGTTATGACACATGGGTCTGTTGTTGTGACCTCTGACCTTTTCCTTGTGGGTCAGAGCTCTGTCAGGTGAGAGCTGGTTTTCAATGTCTTGATTTATTCACAGGTGTCCACAAGCACCTACACCTGGCAGGTGCACGAAGTTCCCTCAGGGAAGGTGATCATGGATCAGCCCATCCTAGACAGGATCACCTGGGCAACCTGGACCAGGTGAGGCAGAAAAGTTGATTTGCTGTGCTTAATGTTAGCTAATGTTAGTGTTAGTGGGAATGCCTCAGACCATGTATGGGTCTCAAACTCCTCGAGGGGCAGTGTCCTGAAACTATTCCATGTGTCCCTGCTGCATCACACCTGAATACAATTAGTGGGTGATTAGCAAGGCTCTATAGAACTTGACTGCATGCTGAGGTGGTGACCCCTAACCCTACCTACTCGAGTAAGTGTTTGGAAAAATTTACTTTTATTGCACTGTGTTCATTCAGTCATGAGCTGCTGTAACAGTAGGGCTGCCACGATTAGTCGACTAGTCACGATTACGTCGACTATCAAAATCGTCGACGACTGATTTAATAGTCGACGTGTCGTTTGAAGCTTTGTAAGATCACAAAAGCCGCAGGAATAAGTAGTAGGATTTAAGAGTGTAATAACGGACTGAAACAGAAGATGGCAGCACTGCATGTACAAGGAACCAGCTGCCATTTAACCCCGAAGAAGAAGAAGCTGTGTCCCAGAATTCATAGCGCAGCCGAGCTCAGTTTCCAACAATGGCGCAGCTAGTTAGTTTTAATATTACTCTTATTATTCTTTCTGGGTCACAAAATAAACGTTTAACATATTTTCAGGGAGAATGTAGCTGTGTAAACCTCAAATATCTGCTCAGTTTATCAGGACACCGCATATTTTCAAAAGCGCTCCGACGTTTTCAGAGACGTCTGTTACCCACTAGCTCGATAGCTAGCCGGGGGCTAGGCTCACTAGCGCCGTGAGAACACCAGACTCCCAGCAAATTGTTTTCAAACCCACCGCCGTCTTTCGCTACTCAGGTTAAACATGATATATAAGTCACTTAGATAACTTAAAATGTTATTGTTTGGCTTTTTTCAGTATTTTATTTGTTCCTGAGTAAATCTGTTTGGCTGAGATTAAAGTTTTTACACAGCTGAATAAACGTCAAGCAGACAGCTGATTATCAGAAGTGTGAGATGCTCCAGAATTTACTCCGGTGTCCTGTTATATCTTAGATAGCAAGGAGTTTATTAAACTTCACCGAAACAATCTGCAAATTTCATTAAAATGTAATAAACTATCATCTTGTCTTTATTTTTAGTGAGCACAGACCTTAAACACTTCTAGCTGTAAGCTAATGATGGTTATATAAGAGCAGATGCTGCTGGTGCAATAAGCTGTAGTTTTACATCCAATGGATGATGATCCGATTAGTCGACTATCAAAATAATGGATTGTGGCAGCCCTATGTAACATGAATCAAGAATTACCGCCTCAGCATGCAGTCTGGTCCTATTCTCTCGCTAATGACCTGCTAACTGTATTCAGGTTGGAGCAGGGACACATGAAACAGTTTCAGGACAGCGGCCCTCGAGGACTGGAGTTTGAGCCCCCTGCTTTATGGGATGCAGAGGAATCAGGGCCCTCTCTAATCCAAGAAACAAAACGATAAGATGGGGCTGTCCTTGGTGGTGGTGGGGTTCCCTCATGCCGGGCCTTTGTTAGGGAAGTAAACAAGTTCAGAGGTTTGGGACCCAGCTGCAGAGCACTAATCCTCCAGCCCTGGGTCGCCATGGAGTCCTGAACTAAAAACAGGAAGCACGGATTCAAATTGGGATGGGTTCAGGAAGATCTGGAGGAACTTTTCATGAATAAAAAACAGGAACTAGTTCCAGAAGCGTTGCCACCTTCCTGAGCTCATTTAAGGTGTGACCGACCTGACGGAGGCGTTTCTGTTCGGTTTTCGTAGCATCGTGGGGGACGAGGTTGTCGGCATTTGGCCTCGTAACGCCGAGAAGGCCGACGTTAACTGTGCCTGCGTTTCTCACGCTGGAGTCAACATGGTGACCGGAGACGACTTCGGCCTCATCAAGCTCTTCGACTTCCCCTGCGCCGAAAAATTTGTAAGTGAGCTCCGAAAATGAGAAATCACTGAAAGGTTCAGCTCACACTGAGCGCCACCTTCTGTCTTTATTTCCAGGCGAAGCACAAGCGTTACTTTGGCCACTCGGCTCACGTGACCAACATCCGCTTCTCCTGCGATGATAAATATGTGATCAGCGCTGGCGGCAGCGACTGCAGGTGAGACCTGAATTACACCAAATCTTTGAGTGAAACCAGCCAAACGTGGGCAGAAAACTGACTGCAGAGCAGCTCAGACAGTAAACTCATGCTTCTTGTTTGTTTGTTTTTTTTACTTGATCTAAATGAGACGTTTTAGGACCCCTGAGACAAAATTCTAATATTTCACAGAGAAAAAGATTCAGGACCTTCAGGATGTATGTTTTCAGTTCAATTTTATTCATACAGCACCAAATCACAACAGCAGTTGGCTCAAGGTTCTTTACATTGTAAGGTAGATTGTACAATAATAGATACAGAGAAAACCCAACAATCATATGACCCCCTATGAACAAGCACTTTGGCGACAGTGGGAAGGAAAAACTCCCTTTTAACAGGAAGAAACCTCCAGCAGAACCAGGCTCAGGGAGGGGCGGGGCGGGGCGGGTGATTGGTGAGAGAAGGAAGACAGGATAAAGTCATGCTGTGGAAGAGAGACAGATTAATAACAGGTATGATTCAATGCAGAGAGGTCTGTAACACATAGTGAGTGAAGAAGAAACACCCAGTGCATCATGGGAATCCCCGGCAGCCTATGTCTATTGCAGCATAACTAAGGGAGGATTCAGGGTCACCTGGTCCAGCCCTAACTATATGCTTTAGCAAAAAGGAAAGTTTGAATCTTAAAAGTAGAGATAGTGTCTCCTGAATCCAGACTGTGATGAGCTCTGAAACCTGACTGAAACTCTTCCAATAAGCCATTCGTCTGCAGATGGTCTGCTTGCTGTTTCACACTCCTACTCTGAAAGGAAGGTTGGAGACTGGCTGGTTGTTACTGATTGCTGTCTGTCTCTCGTCTCCTCTCTGCAGCCTGTTTGTGTGGAAGTGTCAGTGAGGTCCCTGCAGTCCTGTTGGGTTCACAAGAGTCTCCTCCTCTTCTCCTCTGATGCTGCTCCCCCGACTCCTCGGTCTGAACTCTGACCCGAGTTCACCTCTTGCTGTACAGTTAATGTGAGGACGTGTTTCCTGCTGTTGTGGCGTGTTGCTGTGACCTGTGGACGGCGTGTAGCTGTGTCGTGTAGCTGTGTCTGGTTTGTCGGGATGTGCCTTTCTCACAAACTCTGACCAAACATTTGATACAACTTTATTTATAACGGTGGTGCTATCAGACTGTCGTGGTGTCCTGTCAGAAGATGATGATGATGAAGATAAAAAAGAGGAAAATGGATCTGTGTTTGATCCTAGTTATTAAAAAGGGAAAAAGTAGAAAACAGTTTGTATGGAACTTTATTTAAAAAGTAAAAGAATTCTACCTCAAAACAGAACAAATAGAAATGAAGAAAATGTATTTATTAAGGTAGAAAATAAATATTTACATCCACACGGTGGCGCTGTCTTCTCTCTGCTGTTTGTCTGATAATAAAAAAACACTTTTCTTGGAACCCCACACAGAGGGATCAAAGGTCATCAGGACCTGTCAGGACTCTTGCTGCAGCATTTTGGATCAGCTGAAGGCTTTTCAGGGAGTTTTTAGGACTTCCTGATAATAATGAATTACAGTCGTCCAGCCTGGAAGTAATAAATGCATGAACTAGTTTTTCAGCGTCACTCTGAGACAGGATATTTCTAACTTTAGAGATGTTGCACAAATGGAAGAAAGCAGTCTTACATATTTGTTTAATATGTGCGTTGAAGGACATGTCCTGGTCAAACATGACTCCAAGGTTCCTCACAGCGTTACTGGAGGCCAAGGTAATGCCATCCAGAGTAAGAATCTGGTTAGATACCATATTTCTAAGATTTTCAGGGCCGAGTACAATAACCTGAATAACTGACTGAGAGCACACCAGGTGAGTTAGTCTTATTATAGTAACGCAGACACATGTGAGTCTGCAGCTGTCCTGATCCTTGTCTCCGTTCACCTGCCTGACCTGTGGAGGGCAGCAACACGCAAACCTAACAGAAGGCGCCAAAGTGCTTCCGGTGTGTGCTGGCTGTCATGGCGGCTCCCTGTCGCAGGACTTTTTCACGATGAGCTGAGTGGACAGCGCGAAGAGAGAAAACCAGAACGACCGGAGGCGGATGTCGGGGTTGCTGAGGTACCGTGACGCTCCCTTCTCTGACGCTCTGCTGCTGGGTTGAGTTGACCGTAGTTCCGACGTAGAGTCCTCCGGTTTTGACGTCAGGCAGAGCCAAGCGTCACTCAGAAACCCTGCGAGGTAATGTCACGTGAACGAACGACACCTGAGGCTTTAGGTGAGCTGCTCGGTTCAGTTTTCACGTTCGGCTCTGATTAAACGTTTCTTTAATCAGCGTCTTCCTCTGCAGGCCGGAAGTTCAGCCGAGCTACACCAACACTGCTGTTTAACAGCTGTTATGTTTTTCACGGATCGATGATTCTTCGTTATCGGTTTGAATTTTTAAGTCTCACTTTCACATTCGGCGCCCGAATTAACGAACCTATCCTCCTGAGTCCTCCGGTGTCAGTCCGTAAGCTCTGCTCCAAACTTCATTTACAAAAGACACATTTTTACGATTTGTGGTGCCGAGATGTTTTAGAACAAAATGTAAACATGTGTTCCTGATGTGTTATAGCACTCGGGTTAATTCGGCATAGATGTAGTCCACCACCTGCATCCAGCTTTCATCTCACCATGTTTAATATGTAAACTTCATATGCTGCTGCTTCAGGCAGAGGACTGGACAACCACACGTGGAGGGTGGGTATTTTAAAACTGTCAGCTGAGGATATTAGATATAGAACTGTATATACCCCAAACAGTGTGTGTCAGACACTCGCCTGATTGGCTGCTGCTTGTCAGGATGTGTGCGGGTATATTACCTGCAGAGTTTGTGGGCTGTGAGGCCGACAGAGAGGAACAGACACACTCCTGAGTGAAAGGATCGATGGCTGGTCTCAGTGAGACCGCCTCCCGATGATGATGATGATGACGTTTTACCTGCAGATGTTTGCTCTCTCGCACGTTAGGCTCACCTGTCCCTCTGCAGCTATGAGTGTGATGTCTGCGGTGATGCGGGGTACCCGGCGGCTGGTGCACGCAGACCCAGCTCTGTTCAGTAACTTCCCGTTTCCGGCCGTATTCTGCCGTGCCGGGAGCGCCGACTTTCTCCTCACCTGCCAACCGAACAGGAAGTTCGCCTTCAAACATGTGAGTTTCTTCCTCCTGATGATGTTCATTAACAAAGACGCAACATTACAGTTCCTTCGTCTGTACAAATAACATTTTAGTGAAAAAAATGAAGCATGTCATAATAAAGATAATTTTTACTGCAGGTCAAAGGTCAGAAGAAAGAGCAGAAGACCCAGAAGGTCAAACCCAAAGTTGACAAACAGGAAGTTGAGATCCGACAGGGGATGACGGCGGCTGCACTCGCTGAAGCCATGAACAGAGACTTCGGTAAGGATGATAGACAGTATACAGGTGGGCGGAGCTATTTGATGTCTCCCATTGGTCGCTGAAGCGTCAAGATTATGGAACGCCAGGACTGCCATAATGAATTAATTAAATGTGGCAATAATTAATTAAAATTGGAATTAATTAACTAAATAAATAGTTATGACACATGTAATTAATAATTATTGACACATTTAATTAATTATTTAATGATATATTATTTATTTCATTTGGCAGTCCTGGTGCCTGGCTCTCATCATCTGTCAGCCTCACCCATCCAAACTCAGGGGGCGGGGTTAACGCTGCCCATGCAGCTTCTCTAACATTTGATTGGTTGCCGTGCAAAGTAAGTCAAAACAGGTCGATCCTAGATAATCGATTGCTTGTGTAGACTTGGGGCAGCCAGGTATCCCAGAATGCAGATCAAATCACAAGCAGCAATGGTGGTGTGTAGTTTTAAAATACCCCGTTTTCTGTCACCAGCTACACTTTTAACAGTGTTTTAGCCGCGAATGTCGCGACGTACGTTGGTCAGGTTGTCAACATAGAACATGTTTGCAAAAGTGCTCAGATGTTGTCAGAGATTTCACTAGCTCTGCTAACAGTTAGCATGCAGAGTGCACCGAGGGGGTACGTTAACCGGTTTGTTTACATATTCCACTCTCCGTGTTCCACATGTTGCATTCGCAGATTCTCATTTTCACCGAACGATCGTCTCTTTCCGCCTGGTCTTGTGTCTCTGTGCTTCTGTAACATAAAGAACGAGCTGACATTTTTCTCACGAAACCAGCGATCAGCTCAGCAGACCTCAGTTTACCTGCATGCATCCTCCTCCTCATCTGTCAGCTGTTTAACACCTGCTGCTAATTCAAGAAACACGCCTACGTTACCTGGTGATAGTCACAGTAACTGGGCAGCCGTGTCGATATACCAATGTCACGCATTTTCTGCACAAGATAAGTAAATATAGTGTTTTCCCCGAGCGCAGAGCTGCTGGAGCTTGTTTCCTTACAGAGCACTTTATAGGCGAACAGCTTATCAGCGGCTGATGTCCAATCACCGGCACACAGCTTTGAAACCTCAGCTGAGTTTTAGCTCTCAGTGGTTAAACGCTGGACTTCATTCACTCAGGTTCTGTCTGTCGGGTCACGTTTACTTCGCTGTTTTATTTACAACTGAGCAAATCGGTTTGGCTGAGGTTAAAGTTACGTTTCATAACTGCATAGTTTCACAGACGTTTAATGGTTCACTGGCACATGTGTTAGACTGAACTATCATCTAAATATCATCTGTTTTTTAATAGTTATTCAACTGTATTCTAAGCACCAGCTGTCTGTTAGAATGTGATTTTTTTCTCTCTCTGTTGGCAGAGGTATAAAAATGCGCAGGAAAATCTGACGTGCATGGCGAACTTCACCGACGATATTTAGGGAGGAATAAACACACATCAAACATAAATGAACCATTTGTCTGTCTCCATAATTGAGAGAATTTCTCTTCTTATGTCAACACTCCTCTCTCTTCTCTCTCTTTTTTTCTTTTTTTGCTTTTTCGGTCATGTTATGTTTACCTGTCAAAGGCTTGTTACAAACTATGAAACACATTGTGCAGACTTCTGGATGTTAGAAGAAAACTAATACTGCTCATGAATGAGACTAAAGGCAGGAAGGTGTCCTTTAAAACTAAACATGTTAATAGGACCTCCCTGTTTATATCATAGTTTAAGATATAGCACGTGTATTTCAGTAATAGCCTGCTGAGGCCACTATACGTGCTGGCCTCATATCAAATGTGAAGGCAGACTGAGTCTATGTTTGACGTTTTTTATATCTAATCTTCCTTTTCAAACATTTAAACAGCAGCGAGTCTGCAGCTGAGGGAATACAAATTCAAATTGTCGGAACAGGTTTGCTCGTTTCTTGGATTCATTTGGTGATTTATTAAATGTATAACTGTTATTCTAATCTGCTGCTGAGTCTCTTACACTTTTCTTTATGCTGTATATTTTCACGTCTCTGGAATAGTTGGCAGTTAGATAGTCAGCTGGGAAACTTTGTGTTAACTCATGGAGCTGAGGATATCGTGGATATGCTGACCTCGCTGCGTGGTGTACAGAGCGAGGTCAGCATGATTCATATTCACAATAAAAATATTAGCCGAACATCATGAAGTCTGTATGTGTTTCATAGTGTCGAACAACCTTTGTACAGTTAAAGCCAGCAGTTACTACATGACGGAAACACCAACGTTATCTCTTTTATGTGTTTATACACAGGTCACGTTGATTACTGAACAAAAACCCAAAGATCAGATGTTAAACAGATTTATTTGCTCTCTCTCCTCCTTAAACATGTTTTTAATGTTAGTTATAATTCAGACTGAAACACGTAGGACACATAAGAACTTCAGGAAATAAAACACCGATAAATATAACCTCAGTAAAAGAAGTCAGCGGGGGTTACTACAGCTGTGTACCGGGGCCTGCGCTTTGTCGGTGGGATTGCTTGCGAGGCGAGCGGGTCTATCCCACGCTTTGCCGTGAGACTG